AGCATACTCATCCAGCAAGTAAGGACTAATAACACGACGGCGATGATTTTTTTCTTTAAAGTGAGGGTCCGGGAAAAGAAAAAACATCTTTTTAAGCTGCCTCTTCTCAAAGTAATTGGGAATGTACTTCATCGAATTAGTGCGAACCACTGAAATATTCTGATACTGCCCAGGATTACTAGTCCTCAGTGCTAAAATCCTTTCCTTTACGTACTCTGTCACCTTATCCCTGAGTTCCATTCCAATCATAAGGGTTTCAGGAAAAAGCGTCGAAAGGCTAATTAAACGCCCTCCAAAACCACAACCTATGTCCGCAAAACAATCTTTTTGGAATCATTAGATATCTGAGGATAATGACTGGAATAATCAAATTGAGAATGGGCAACAGGAACAGGGAAATGGGAATCACTCAATGGATTGCGATGTGCCAGAGCATGATAAAATCGTTTCCGAGGCAGCCCAGTACTTTTGCTTCTCCTTCACCGAAATGATGTAGAGGTTCTTTGTCCCCATTGTTATCGGCGCAGTTGCCGTTGCCGCCACCGGAAGACCTAGCGACATCTTGAACTTGTTCTCTAGGAAAGAGACCATAATGCCCTTGATATTTGGTCGCGTGTCGCACGAGATGATGCTTCTCGTCAATTTTAACTGCTGGATTTGACGGAAGGACCATAAATATGCTATTTTATTAGATCGAGGGCCAAATCTAAAACTTTACCTGAGAAAGAGTTGAAGGGTCATTGAGACTCTTTTCCCTAGTTCTAGAATGGGCGCAAAACAAACAATTTGGTTGGTAAGAGTGCTATAATGGATACAAACTAGGCGCCATGCTTCTAACCAAAATCTGCAATTTCAACATCTGTAATTTATCTAGAGAAATGATGGGAATAGTCCCTCACTTGTTGCATTTGTATTTATTTAATTTCTCACTTCCAAATCGCACTATTTTAATTTTAAAAACTATTTTGGGAGATTTTTAATCTTAAAACATCGCCTGACCACCACATGATTCCGATTTTAGGAGCCCAAAAAGTATCACATACTTTTAATTTATTATTATTCTTTTATTTGCTTTTTCTCCTTTGTTTCTCATTTGGCCTAGTCTAATTGGTACTCTTGGTATTCTTTATCTTTGTTATTGGTTTTTAGTTTAAATATGTTTGGAACAATTTGCGAATCTCTTTGCTAGATTATTTTTTAAATTAATCTTTTCTACACTGACACTGTTGGATTAATGACAATTATGCAAAATTTAAATTTAACATTCCAGGCACAGCACCTTCAAATCTGGTAAAGCAACCGAATTGGGTATATCCAAATCAACTTGTCTATCCATTTTCAGAACAACTAGTGTTTTGCATGTAAATATTCCCAATAGATTTGATCGTTCAGCATCATTTTCAAACAGAAAAATCTCAAGTTCTTGAACATTGCACAACGGTAAAGCAGATATCAAGGAGTCCATTTGCAACTGAAACCGTTCACATAGCCACGGTGGGAAGATTGTGAGCCCAAATTTTCTTATGGGAGCTGTGTTACGTTGCCGTATCAAGTTAATACAAAAATCAATAAATCTAGAGAACTTCAGATGAGAATTTTCACGTTGAATAGGATCTAATTCGTCTGAAGTGTCATTAAATACGAGATTAATAACTGGAATAGAAGTGAGAAGGTATCGCCATCGAGGAGATAAAATTGAGGTGGCTGCGGCTTCTTTCATGGGGAGAAATGACAAAATTTGGCAAAGGAGAAGGGCACTAATTCTATCAATCCTATTTGAAGAATTGGCGGTGGGATCTTGATCCAATGATATCTTCCCAGCCAAAAAAAAAGGGTGTTTCCACTGATCAACAAGAAGGGCAAGAAATGGGAAAACAGGATGCTAAGTTGCATAAAAGAAATAACCATAAACATAAAAGAAATGGGGAACGTCATCGGTGTATTAAGAATTTCCTTGATTGCACTGGAATACATTTCATCTGTAGTCGATCGGTATCTAAAATTTCAACACAATGGCTGATGCATATGATATAATTATTTGTTCAGAATTTGATTGTCTATGGCTGATGCTTATGATATAATTGCGCACTCCTTACTCAAGGTGTCCATTTTGGCACTAATTCCATGATTACCTAACGAGAAAATACGTACTACTCTGTGTGACCTTTGCCTACGAGTCCAATCAGCTCCCTGCCCACAAAACAAAACAAAAAAAAATAATAAAAGGCATCTTTTCTTAAAAAAAAATTAAAAAAAAAATGCTTTGAGATTATCAATTAATGCTGCTAGCTCCGGTCCAATCAGCTCAAAACTCAACTAATTGATCCTTTATAAACTTGTAATTTGAGCACTTAATTTAGTGGCTTGCTGCTTTAATTATTTTACCAGCTGCAGGTATCACTTAAAGGATGCGGTTCTTGACGGAGGAATCCCTTTCAACAGGGCCTACGGAATATCACGGAACCGATCCCAGATTCAACAAGGTGTTTAACCAGGGAATGTCTAATCACTCCACCATTACCATGAAGAAGATTTTGGAAGTTGACAGAGGGTTTGAGGGACTGAAGACCGTGGTCCACGTGGGGGGTGGAACTGGGGCTACGCTCAATATGATCATCAGCAAATAATTCTAGCAGACAAAAAGGAAAAGGTTTCAATCTTATTATCAGAAAACCATCAAACTTTTCGATTCTTCATCAAAGCATATAACAAGTTTTGACAAGATAACAAGAACAAGCATTACAAAAAAACCACACACACACACTGAATGCACACACATACACTTTCGAACATTTGAGACGTTTAAAAAATAATACTCTAAAATTGTTGAAAGACGAAGAAGAAGAAGAATGGGAATTTACCGCAAAAGGGTTCACTTCTTCTTCAGCAAACGGATTGGAATCGTAACGGCCAGCCATTATCAGAAGAACCCTTTAATGAAAATGCACAATGCAAAAAAGAAAGTATGATATTATCTTTTTAAAATGTTCAAGAAAATAACACAAAAATTCGGATCTGGGGAGAATATAAAACGGGTTTGAAGATTTTGTATGATATTGTTGCCAAAATGGGAATGTTATGTTAATGAGAACGTATGGAATCAAGAATTGGACTTGGTTTTTCTTTTGTTAATATTTTTTTAAATGACTTAGTTTTAATATGTTTTTCGATATGGGGTTGTACTTATACATCGTTTGGGGTTCCCGGGAAAATTGAGGGGCAAAATCAGGGAAACTACCAAAGTTGGCCCCGGTGGCTTTGGAGCTGCAAATAGGCGGGGGATGTCAGGACACAGCAATTGATTTCCCAAATTAGATCAATTGATTTTGCCCCAATGCGCAAACGTTGTCGTTCAATGTCAGGACGCAGCAATTGATTTCCCAAATTAGACCAATTGATTTTGCCCCAATGCGCAAACGTTGTCGTTCCATTTATTTGTTAGCAGAGTTAGTAATAAGTCGGACGACGTCGTGGAAGACCCAAGCTAAGTAGCGCGACGTCGTTTGTCCGCATAACAGAATTAGTTGGCAACACTCGGAGTCGGTTACTTCATCTTATTTGTACAGCAGTGATTGGTGGAAAAAGACATCTCAGCAATATAACAGAATTTCCCTCTTTTGCTACTTTCTCTCTCTATTTCTCCCTCTCTCCCAATTCTCCCTGCTCGTCTGTGCACTCTTCATCCCCAATCTTCCTATCTCCCCCAAATCTTCCTCAATTCCGGAATTAATTCTCAATTTTAGACAGAAATGGATCCAGAGGCCTGACAGGGGATTGGGTTTATATGAGCTGGGGAAACATTGGTGTCTTGGACCCGCCAACTGGCTAACTGACTCGGTAATTGCAATTCATTATTATGAACTGTAGATTTTTGCTGTACCAATTTTGTACTTTTAAGTAATTCTTCGTACTATTATACAACAATGTCCAAAACACCGTTTCAACTACTTAATTCATAGTTATATAAAAAATGGGATGATCAGATACCTAATAAATTAAGTTTGTCCAATTCAAACTGATTCGTGTAATTCTTATTATATTTGGCGTAGGTTGTATAGTTTGATATAATCATCAACTTTTGTATAGATTGATAAATTCGGATTTACATTCAAACTGTAATTGTATGAATTTACAACAAAAGTTACAAAAATAAAAAGAATCGATTTGAATTGAATAGAAATCAACTTGCGAGATTCTTGATCCAAAATTAGGAAGCTGCCTATCATTTGTAATGACTTGTTGATTCTTTTGTTAAAATGTACACACTCCTAACTTCCTTAGGGGGAAAAAAAAAAAAAGAAAGAACGTTTCACCCTCTTCTGTTTCCTTAGAAACCTTTGGAAGTGATATATATATATATATATATATATATATTTTAATGGTGTTTCCCAATGAAAACTTAACCGTCAATATACAAAAGTTAGGCATATCTAAATTCAACACTATGTATCAGGAATTTAGCGAGAAAAATCATGCTAGGCCTAAAAAATGGTAAGCTTTAGGTACTGTAACGCCCTAGCCTCAAGAGCTAACCTAAGGAACTTTTGAGTTGAAACCACAAATTTAAAATGATTAATTTAAATCCTGGCCAAAGAACTTTTGAGCTAAAACTATGGATTCAAAATAATTAACTCAAGTTATTAAGTAGTCCATGGATCTAGAAATAACATATTGGCCAAGACTCAACCCAGGCAAAAACCATGCAAAATCTGTTAGCATTTAAACTGAAATCGCGGGTCAAAACAATTAAACCAAATTGCTAAATAACCCATGGGTCTAGAGTCATGTATCAATCCAATCCTTTCCTTTCTTTTTGATGTTGGACGGGTCCTCAGAGTTAAGACAGAAATAATTTGATTAAATTTTTAACATTGGTATATAATTGAAGGCAACATGTGACATAATCGAATACCTGCAATCCTTTTGCTTTGAATAATAAATATGATAAGTCTTTTTCAGAAAAATAAAATACTACTCCATGATAAGTTGCACAACCTTAATTAGAACTGAACATACTCCTTTGCTAGTTTGGCTGGCATTCATATTTATTTGATAAGCTCAAGGACCCAAATGCACTGTATCTTAATGAAAATTAAAGTTTCACTTTACAATAGAGTTGGACATTGAGAAACAGCAATAAAGATATACACACTGAGGTACTGCGTCAACAAACAATCCCAAATTATATGCTGTTGTTCAACATACAGGATTCATCAAAATCCCCCAAACATTTGAATGTGGTCTCAGGTCACGGAAATACTTTGGTTGCTGTCCCTGCAGCATAACAGACATGAGCTCAAGAAATAGATTGGCAGTCATTTGCTGAATCAAGAAAAAAGGAAAATAGTAGAACGTGTAAGAATTAGCTTAGCAAGCCATTATTAAATGCCAAACCCAAAATCCTGTTATGAGTCATTCATAGAGGTGCAGGTCAGAGCTGTTAGATTTTATTGGCCCGAAGTTTGATTACATAACAACAGAGAACAAAAGTATTTATTCCGTTCCTAGTCAATTTGTAATTTTTCTTTTAAAATACATGCGCATGTCTGTTCTAGCAAAAAGATGTAAATTTTCAGAGTCTACTACTTTTAACTACTAAAACAATCCCTGGTGCATTGAAGTCTTTCAGACAATGTAATGAATCTTTTTATTTAAAAAAGGAAAATGTCTATCAATACTTTAATCTGTCTTTCAAGTTACAGCTTGAAACAAAAACAGAGAAGATGCACCTCAAAGGAGAGAATACTGGAATCAATAATCAGCAGACATCTGGAATCAATAATGAGGCAGTTTGAGAAAACTGCTCTTCTTTTTTGTGACGATGGATGAGTTGCCTTGATTCTGACCCTTTAAAAAACAAAAAGAATGACTGATAAGGAGGAGGACGAAAGAATCTACGGAAAAGAAAATGTAAAGAGCAATTGAAGGATATGGCCATTTAAAAGGAAGCAGTAGCGTTTTTTATTTCCTTTTTCCTTCCGGGGATTATATATAAGAAAAAAAAAAAGCACTACTAATAGAATTCTAAACAAACCGAATAAGTAGAGATTAAAACAGAACATTGGAAATAATTATTAACTACTTACAGTTACAGTGGGGTTTGTTTCCCTAATGCGAAACCAGTCAAACTTTGTTGAAATCGATAACAACAAGGGGAATATGTGCAATCTTGGGCCACTCTGCGCCACTTCCTTTGATGCATCTCTTTGCTAAAAGAGGACAGTTGTAGATACGTAGCTCATTTAAATTGGTGAGGTGTCGCATTGCTTCTGCGGAGGGCAACTGTCTGAGGTTAGAGCAATCACCAATCCACAATTCTCGAAGATTCCGAAGGCTACCCATCCACTCTGGAAGAACTTCCAACCCCTCAAACTCCCATATCTCTAGAGACGTCAAGGTAGAGATATGCTGAATTTGGTCTGGGAGAGACGTGATTTTTGGCCATCCATACAATCGAAGTGTTTCCAGCGAGACGAGATTGGTGATGGAGTGTGGCCACGGGAAATGATCAAGGTCAAGGATGTCAGAGAAGCCACCGAGAGTCAACGATCTGAGGTTGGCTAGACGGTGGAGAACCATAATTGGCCAACAACCAGGGTCATGAGAGCGGATCTCCAACCGCTCGAGTGACGTGAACTTCTCAAGATTATTACTCAAAGAAGGATTCAACTTATCACATCCTGAGATGATTAATTCACGTAGGTTTTCCATATCCAGAGAAGCATCTAATAAAGCAGGGCAGCTATATAAGTGTAAGGATTCGAGAGATGCAAGGCTATTCAAATTCCTTATACAAGCCAAACTTCCACATTCTTGTATCTCTAACTCCTTAAGAGATGTCAAGTTCTCCATATCCGGTAGAACAGCCAACTTGGGGAGATCGGAAATTGTCAAGTCCCGGAGATTAGGGAATACCTTAATTGATGAAGAAGAATCCGAGGGAACCATTGCATCTGACCACTCCTCTAGACTTCCCATGTTCCGCAACTCAAAACGCGACAGTTTCGGAAACAGAGTGCTTGGTTTCGCCTCTCTGCTACTACTACAAGCGCTGCTCCTTGCATTAATATCGAGATGTGCAAGGAGACCATAGAATTCAGCCCCAATGCGCTTCACATTATGTAAGGACTCCATGCATAAGGACTCGAGACAAGGCAAGTCCCCTAGTGGTGGTACTTGTTCACACTTACCCAATTCCTCCAACGTGAGGCGTACCAGATTCCGAAGAAGTACCATCCACAACGGCAACCTTGAACCTTCGAAACCCTCAATGGCTAAACTTTTCAAGTTTGGGTGAGGTTGGAGACCTTCCATGACACTGTTGATATTGTTGTCGTCGCAATCTTCTTTCGTGCCATTCCACGAAAGTCTTAAACCTTGAATGCTTGATTTTTCGGACAACTTTGCTTTTGCTGCGGATTCAAAGCTGCTCACATTTTCAAGTCCAGAAATTTTTAGCTTGCCTCGGAGGTTACGCAAGTGTTCCAACTCCTCAAGTTGACATCCCTTGTCTTGGCTTACCCTGAAGGGGGGCAACGTCCGAAGATTAGCCAACTGCCCGATTCCAGGGAACAAACATCCGGACCCCCCTCTAGCAAACTCGAGATGCCTCAAGTTAATTAGATTGCCAAACTTCTTAGGTATCTCTTCCAAGCAACGTACCTTCAAGGTCATCAAATTGTAGAGCTTTGTGATGGAATCTGGCAGAGCGGTGATTTTAGTTCGACTGATATCAAGATGTCTTAAATGTTTCATATTACCCACTGCATTCGGGAGATGAGTAACATGCCAGCTGCCTACTTTTAATACAGAAAGGTATCTAGACCTTTCCAAGATGTCTTCGAGCATAATACCATCACCCTCAAGATAATAAAGCGTTTGCAAATTTGGAGGAATCCCTTCGATATTCTTTAACACCTTCCCTGGACTCCCAATGATGGTCAAATGCATAACTTCATCATGATGACTGACTTCCATGCCATCCTCTGTGTTGAAGAAACGATTATTTGACACTTGCAGTGAAAGATCATGCACAAGGTCGTGCATCCCGCCGTACTTGATTCCGTACTCAGGAGAAGCTTGCAACAAAGAACTCCGAAGCAATACGTTGAAATACTCACTGCCTATATCCTCCATTTGCAAATGACCTCCTCCTCCCTTGGCATCATTAATCAATCCCTGGGCCATCCAAATCTGTATCAAGCTTTGTTTTTCCATGACAGCGTCCTTCGGGAAGATGGAACAACTTGCGAAGCATTGTTTCACTGACCATGAAGGTAAGTTCTCGTAACTCAGCTTCAGGACAGACATGACTCGTTTTGCAATATCGGTCGACTCGTTCCATATTTCACTCTTCTCAAGCTTCGACCATTCAGAGGCATCCTTTTTGGAATACAACAAACCCCCGATCACTTTGATCGCTAATGGCACGCCGCCGCACTTTTTCAGTATCCTTCTGCCAATGCCCACCAGATCTTGAGTCATTGTTGCACCACCGTCTGCAAATGCTAGTTTTTCAAACAACATCCAGCTATTATCATCTGAGAGGATGTCTAGATGATGCAAACCAGATGTTTGCATTGCTGAGGCTACCTCATCGCTACGTGTGGTAGCCAATATTTTGCTTCCTGGAGCACCCCCAATTGCTAACAAACATATCCTCATGTCATTCCATTTCAGTGGATCGTCATTCCAAATATCATCAAGGACAAGCAAGTAACTTTTTCCTTTCAGATTTTCTTGAAGCCTCCTTACCAATGCTTCCTTGGTTGTCGTCTCAGCATTCTTTTCCCCGAGGGAATGATCCCCGAGGGATTGAAGCATATGGTTCAACAGCCTTTCCACTCTGAAATCATCAGACACACAAACCCATATTATTTTATCAAAATGCTTCGTTACATTCTCATTTTTTAGCACCAGCTGTGCGAGGGTTGTTTTACCCTGGCCACCCATCCCAACTATTGAGATGACGGGTAAATCCTTCTTACAGTCTGAGCTAATTAACATGCTCACAACTTTAGATACCTCAGCCTCCCTTCCCACCGTTTCTGACTCGTCCACAAAAGGAGCAGTCCACCGATCCTCTTTGTGATCAGCAGATGCCATGGGTAGTTGAGCTGGATGAAGCCCTATCCGTTTTGCTTCTTTGTAAGCTTCCTCCAGAGATGCGCTAACATTCTTGATCTTGTTAGCCATCTGTAGAGGAAAGGAAATAGGATTTGAGGAAGAAATAGAAAAGAGGTTGCGTAGCTTGTCGCGCTTCCGATTCTCAACCTTCTGCCGCAGAACTTCATATCCGAAGTCATCCAACACGATCTCAGCATCACGTGCTATGGACTGGAGCCTTTTGAGCCAGAGTTGCACTGCTTTGCTTGTTGATTGCTTGCATTTAGCATCAGAAATCAAAGCTTCCACCATCTCTACTTTCTTGGAGAGCTTCTGAAGGGCTTTCTTTACACCCCATGCCCGGCTGGTCTCGGCGGCAGCAAGTGGAAGTATCTTATCCAAGATCACACTAAGCACGGTGTCAGCCATCTTCAAGGGAAACTCTTTAACAGATGAAGGTAAAATGCTTTGTTTGAAGTTGAATAGTTGGACTATATTTTTTGCAGGCAGAGATGAGCAACATTCAACAGCTAGCGTTACAAAGCAGGGAATCCATTACTTATCTTCCATTTCATATTTTTCCAAAACGAAATTTCCTACCAAGTTGGAAAACTAATAAAAAAGTACTGCACCAAGAAAAGAAAAGACTTGAGATAATCCAGGACCACGCGGCTTGTGGGCACCATTGAAATAATTGAATCTATAGACATTGGTTGAGGTAGGACCAAACCAACTCTTTGCTTTCGGGGCAACCTTTTGTATTTGGGTAAAGTGACTCCACTTGTAATGCATTTTCAATCATCTTTGCACATGTGCCAAAACTTATATTATATTACATTACATTACACTAATGTTCTCATAATTCATTGCCCAACGCTGGAGAGAAGCATTAAAAACATAAAAAAGAAAAAGAAAAAAAAAAGCCTTTGTTTGTTTCTTGAACAAAGCAATGTAGCAGCATGTAGTCTCCGGTGAAAGAATTGCCATTATCTTCTGGCCGTACATTTTTTTTCTCCCTGGCTCTTCACATTTAATAACAATTTAATTAGAATAGTATAAAAGTCTCGGATGCAAATTTCAACCTCGAGAAAGGGTGTGAAAACTAAATTTCAACCTCTAGATGCTCATAATGGTCAATAGATGAAATTTCAACCTCTAGATTGCATTATATTCTTTCTCATTGCTTTTACGAGGAAGGCCTGGCCCGACGAGTCAATGATTTGTTGCTCTTTAAAATCGTAAATATAACTTAATATAAATCCCATTCTCATTATAAACAAATTAGTTAAGATTCCAATCCCTCACTTTAAATAATTCTAATAGAAAAGAAATTCCATTAAAAAAAATGTCCAATTTTTCTAAAAGGCATATAGCAAGTTGACAAGATGATGAGTACGTGCATGCACTCTAACAATAGTTTGAAATTCACAGTTCAACTAGTTCGATACCAAAATTGCCATGAAAGCAAAATTGTCAGATCTCAAACTCATAAAAACAAAAACAATTGCAACTTGACCAATTTCCATTTCTGAAGTTGCTTAAAAATCTATTGCCTATGTTTGTGAACTTGGAACACCAACAGATCATGGCTGGCCATTGGCAGTAACAAGCACTGAATCTGAGGTTGCTAACGTTGTATTGGTTACAGGCATCATTATTGTATCATCGATCTCTTGTTTTGCATCTCCAAGATCATGTTCACATTCATGCATTTTTCTGGCCTTTCTATTGGTTGGATTGGCCTCAACTCCCGTAGTAATGCTCTAAGAAGGCACAATTACCGCAAGAAACATACTCTATATTGTTGTCAGTACAAGTTAGCATTGCTAGCAAGTAACTAATGTGCCTAGGAAGAGGTAGTAGAAATTATATGCTACTTCCCACTTCAGATTGAATATATATATATGTGTGTGTTGCTTTGAATGTAATTTATGCATCAAGAAAAATGGATTTTCAAAAGTATATAACGTTCTGGATTTGAATGAGTTTGTGTATGCAGCAAAATGGAATTAAAAGTTTTATAATGTTGAATATTATGTGGATTTATATTAGGGTTAATCACATTTTATCCCCTTAAAGAATACCACATTTCTCAGTTTACCCCCTAACCTTTAATTTTGCTCACTTAACCCCCTTTAGGACAAAATTGCCCTTGCATTATTTTGACTTTTCATTTACCTTATTTTCCTTTCTTTTATTTCTTTTTCTCTTTCTTCTTTATTTAATTCTTCCTCTTTCCCACAAAAATCTTCACCTTAATGATTGAAATTAAAAAAGAGAAATTGCAAAGATCTATCTTCTCCTTAAATGATTAAAAAAATATTCAAATCACTTTCCTAAAATACAATTTTTTTAGCCTTTCAATTCTTTTAATTTTGGGTTTTCCTCTTTCCTTTCTAGTTTCTCATTTTATTCCCAAGAAAATATCTTAAGATGAAATTGTTTTGTGAGCTAAAAGAACTCGCATTTGCTAAATGCGAAGACCCTAAGGATAGAAAACCATACACAAAATGCCCCTTTTGTAGAATTTTTTTAAAAATCAGCATAATTTTAGAAATTTCTCACTAATAAAGGGGTAATCCAATTTACTAGCTAGCAAATTTTTTGGGGTACATCTTTAAAGTTTCTTCTTGTCACACAATTCAAGAATGGTATTAAAATTTCTTCTTGGGAGAGTACGGATTAAACTCTTCTCCCATTGGAGAGAATCTCTCTCCATTACTGATTACACCTCAATAAAATTAATTTTAAAAATTATTTTTGAAAATCAACTTTCATCATAATATGTTTCATTACTTGTGCTAGTTACACACAGAACTTCACATGAAATTGACCAAGTTTTGCCATCTAATTAATCGTTATAAAATTTATCCTAATGTTATCAATTTTTCACCGCTCAAATGTTCCATGTAAATCAAATATTCAAAATATTGATCTAGAGATCAAAAGAAAAATAATGACACAATTACATAATTTTATATCATTATATAAATTTATATATGAATAAATGGAGAGACCAAAGGAGAGAAATCTAACAAACAGGATCCTAACCCGGGAGGGCACTAACACTAGTCATGGATCCAATTTTTGGGTCACATGACTTACTTGCAAGTTTGAAGGAATATCTGACAACAGCTTTTTCTTCTCATAGTAGTAGTTTTTGCCCTTTTCAGCACACTTTGCACAACCACCTTTTAACATAATTGCAATAGTTTTCATTCTCAGATGAACAAAATTTGGTATCATCATCAAAATACACTATAACTAGAGGCCCTAATTATTGTACAATGTAGGGCTTTTCAACACTGCCCCCAGACATCCATACAAAATAATGGGCGTAGCCCAGCAATAACAAGATACAGCTAAATGATTTTCACTATCAACAATTAATGTTAAATAATACCTATCAAACAATTGGGTTAAGTGGATCTACACACTGCAAAAGTCATACTAGAATGTCGATAATTAACCAATTCCAAGAATCAGGATTACCAGACAACCAAATGGTTGTTGAACTACTCATTAGCAACCTTCTTCCAGGCGCCCCCTTGATGAAAGAATTGAGAGTCGTGTCAGCAGGCGAATCGAGTTCATGGTTGGTTCCTGATCATTTATCCCAAGTCAATTTCCAAAAAAATGTTGTCTGTTTTGCAGCTTCAGAGAAACTGATTCACCATTTCTTGTTTGATAATCTCAGTCAGTTGCCATCTGATCTGTTTGGAGATTCCCTCCGTATCATTTCTATGAGATCCTGCACAACTTCAGACATTGGAGGCCTAAACTCTGGGTCCGGCTGCATGAAAAACTCACTATGTTAGAACTTATTCATTGAAGCCAAGGAAGAAATGATAAGACGACACCACCAATGGGAGTATCCCAATAACACAGTACTCGAGACTTCCTGGAAAGAAAGTTATACTCTCTTTTATGTATGTTTCCTATACAAGAAAGTAGAGGTTTTGATTCCTTTGCAGGATAAAGACACAATTTTGATATGTACCTATTCAATATTCACCACTACCTTTTTTAAGTTTTTTAGTCTAATGGAGGAAAATACTTCTTTTTCCTTTTTTTTTTTTTTTTTTTTTTGTCGCAACGATAGATGTCCTATAACCTAATCTAGCCTAGTCTAAGGGAAAGGGGAGGGGGTTCGATGTGAGTACAGACTCCATCGATGAAGGTCAATTAAGACCGCCACAAATTGTGGCAAATTTGTGGGAGGCAGGGATTGAACCCCTGACCTCCAGCATCACCTTTAATGGTGATGACCACTGGACCAAATGGCCAGTGGCTTCTTTTTCCTTTCAACTCTTCCTATTTTTATTCCTCTTTGGGTGTAAGTGGGAGGTCTCGAACCTGGAATCTCTCACTTACTCTCCCCCCATACCACCCAACCCATCCCTCCCCCCAATTTTTCCTTTTCCTTCATTTTCCAATGAAACAACAATGATTTTGCATACAACTTTCTAAGAAATGAACTCGGGTGCCCAATGTGCTTTAGTCGCATTCAGCCGTTAACTTGGCCTTGTAGTCGTGAGTAGTAAGAACTAGCAAAACCATTCGCCACACCTGCCTACAATTACATGGGAAAATTTCTTTCACCGGACTATGCTATATGCAAGTGCAAAGCAAAATCTTGCATTCAGGTAATTCCGAGGTTTCTTCATGTGCCAGCATACTGTTATCTATGTATATTTAGGTTAAACTAGGGCTAAGGGGGGACCAGAGTTATAGGCAGAAAGATAATTGAATATCTGGACTTCTACTTGCTTAATACTACAACAAGAGCATGCATCTCCATGTTCCAATCTAAAACATTAATAATTCTCTCAGGTGGAGTGTTGGAGTAATGTAACCTTAGGTAATTCATAGACCAATTGAGTTAAGAAACAATTAGTTCGTTATACTAAGTGCACAGAAACTTGGGCATATAAGTTGCTTGTAATTATGTTTTTCCTAACAATCTGGTAAGTCTAGCACTAAAGTTTGAGTACTAAAAGTAAAGGGGATTTTTTTAAGTCCAATTTGATCAAAGGTAACTTTTATCTGCCATGTGATATTTGGACCTGTAAAAGGATGGACCCAACCAATTTAAACACTCAGATTCTCAAGACTTGCTCTTAAGTATTACTTTTTATTACTAAACCCCCCTCATCTTCGCTCTTCCAACCATTAAGGGAGCCAGGGATTGAACCATGGGAAGTTGGGAACCAATCTAAGGCCATTCATCCCAATCATAACAAATCCTTGAACTTGATCACAAATCTGAAAACAAGCCAATATTTTACTCAAATTTATGGTGGGTTTGGTAAGTCAGTGAGGTAGATTCCCCTCACTGAATACAGGCCATCCTAATGTCAAGGGTTAGCCCAATAATAGAGGAACATGCGCTATTATTTCGGATTTTATAGCTTGGATATCATTATTCATCTTTGCTAGCTTGGCCATATAGCATTCATCTTTCCTAGTGCAATAATCAACAGCTAAAACAGACAGAATATTGAAGTCCTGCACTCCTTGGTCCAAAGAAGGACAACATTTAACTCACCTGGACACAGCGTGAAATAATGTCAGCAAAGTGAGATAAAGATTTAACAGGATATCTTCCATTCAGAGAAGGATCAACCATCCTTGATAAGGCATCAATATCATGAAGCTGTGGAATAGCCCATCTGACCAAAAATTGTTCTCCTCGAGTCCTTGTCCTATATTTGATTAAAGAGATAAGTATTGGATTAGATCATGAGAAA